ATAAGACAGTAGATTACAAAATAATGAGGACAAGTGAGAGAACATTTGAGGTAATTTTGGGTGCATCAATCACTCAATTCTAATTTTTTTGGAGTATGTAAATTCTGACAGCAAGGGTTTTGCTGCACTTTATTTCTGGATGAGATGTCATTCCAGGAGTGAGCATTTTCAGTGTCACTCAATTACAATAAGCAAGTACCTCTAAGTAATACTTATAAGTAGATACAATGGCAAAAAGCACCTAACAGTCAATTTGGACAGTGAACTAAGCAGTTCTAATGAACTGAAATAATTAAAGTGAAATAACAGTGTGTAGGGAAAGCCAGAAGGAAAGTTAAAAGCAAATGTAATATAAGCTGGGGGAAATCATGTCTACTTTCTAGAGGGAACCCCTTCATTCTTAAGAATAATCAATCTGGAGAAGAGAAGCCACATACCTCCAACGTGTAAATCTTTCTTTCTGTCTCTGTATTCTTGTGCTTACTATAGGCTTGATCCATAGAATACAATTGGCTTTGGAAAGACTTCTATTGACTCCACTTGGCTTTAGTCTGCTCACTATGAAGTCAATTGAAAAACTTCCCCCTGACCTTAGTGGGTTCTGGAGCAGGCCCTTTATCTAAATCTGTGACCAGTATATGCACAGCTGAAAGTGAAGAGACAAGAAAAAGAAAATTAAAAACTATTTTACTATGACTAAAGGTCATTGTGAAAGTTAATTGTATTTGACTTTCTTCTATCCCCAACAGTTAACATTCGGAGACAACTTAGATATTCCTAGGCAGTGGGACATGATGACTGAGCAAAAAGAACAGGAGTACTTGTGGCACCTTAGAGACTAAGAAATGTATTTGAGCATAAGCTTTCGCGAGCCACGAAAGCTTATGCTCAAATAAATTTCTTAGTCTCTAAGGTGCCACAAGTACTCCTGTTCTTTTTGCGGATACAGACTAATGTGGCTGCTACTCTGAAACCTAAGCAAAATGAGTGTTTCCTCATCAGAAAATAATGAAAGATGTGATCCAAAACCTGTTGAAAGCAGCAGATAATTAAAGAGAAACCTCTAGATTTTTCATTTTGTGCCTACTTTAACATTTTCACTTTTCTCAATTCTGCAGCCCTCTGTTAGGGAAAAAGGTTTCCCCTCCCGTCTAGGGTTAGGAGGGTAACCTTCCCTGGACTTCTGTATTAGCCAAACAAAACACAAAGTCGTGGCTCTTTGATAAAGTGAGGCACTTTAATGCTAGCAAGTACGACAGCTGAAGGGCTCACCAATTCCTTCACAGAGGAAAATGGCGAAGCCCCGAACAAAGAACAGAGATGGGCTTTTATAGCCTGGTTCAACATACAGTGTGATATCTCTTCCAGTTCAAGCCAGTTAACCCAGTCTGTTTGAAGTTCTGGGGTAGGTATGAACATGGAGGCTTATCTGTATAAGGAATTCTTTCCCCAAAACGGGGAGTACAGGTTACACACAGTTCACATTCCTTCTACCCATAACCTTGGAGAGAAGACAGATAAGCATAGAAAAAAGACAGAAGCCTAGCTTTACATGATTATAGGGTTGTTTTCTGGTTCTTTTCTTGATCAGTTCCCCCCTTTGAGCCTGAAGATAATTATCTTATATGGCTCATTATTCATTGTTTAACATGTTCATATGCTTTTCATCTTGGTTAACACCACCCTTTCTTATATATAATATCTTTGCTGGGCTCATGGCTTTGGTACATACCCGGTGGAAGAGGGCACAACAACTGGACACACAGCAGAACAGCAGACCCACAATCATAAGGAATCCCACTCCATACACAAACAAAGTTTTTAGCCATCCAAAGTTAGGCAACCAGCTGGTGAGCCAGCCCCATAAGTCAAAGCCCACACTGGGAGAAATATAGGCCTGATTATGAAAGAAGGCTGACACGTTTGCAATTATATTAGTATCCGTGACTATGCGTCCGCTTTGATTCACATAGAGGCAGCATGTGGCGTTGACAAATGTGCACACCCCTCTCTGCGCACTTAAAAGCTGATCCAGGGCCAACCTGTTTTGCATACTGTAGCGAGCTAGTGAGCTTATTTTTTCTTGCAAGGCTTGGATTGCATCTCGAGTGGCGTTAGTAAATATTTCCATTTCGGCTGACATATTTTTTAGAGCGTATTCAAGTTGGCCCACCCCCACCCACGGAAAAAAAATATGGAAGGCTCGCATGCCTGCACGGCCTTCCTCGACAATAGGATTATAACTGGTATCTCGACGGGTTCGTCGAGTTGTGTCTTTGATTTCTATTAAGTCTCTACGATGCATCCCTCCTGGCCAGGCAAAGGCCACCGTGCATCTTCCTAACCACTTTGGGGGCAAGGTTTTTCCTGCCCAAGTACCACATACCCACCATAAATGGTGATCTCCTAATACTATGCTATAGTTGCCTTTATTGCCCCCTGAGTTCTGAGAAACGTCCTGCAATCGTCCCACCAGGGATGCAGCATCATCAGGATTGGGTCCTATTCCCCCCAAGTTCCATAATGTAAGGCCGGCAAATTGAGTCGTATTTTCTCTGAGAATGTACCCCACATAGCCTCCAGCATGGGCATAGTTGGCTACCTCAGTACCATTGGGATACTGCAAAAGAGTAGTGCTTGCATTTTTCCCCAAAATTAGAATTTTCTCACAGTGGGTTTTTGGGTATTTTCCCAGTGTAGTTTTACCTCTGGAGCGTAGCGACCTTTTCTCTACGCACAAGGGGGCCTTAACGAGCAAGTCTGGGCGATGGTTTGGGATCCAAGTCCTAAAATCTATGGATCCCCTTCCCCTTTTTCCCTTTTGGCCGTACCACGCTGATGCATTTTGCCAAGAATCGAGGAGCGCTGGAACCAGCAAAATGGGGAAACCTTGCAGTGAATGGGAGGAGAAGTGGGAACACACCCAACAATCACTAACATTCCAGGCGTTGGTTAAGTTTTGGACTAATTGTAGAAACGTATTTTTATCCCAACCCCCCAGGGCAGAGGCCCAGGTTAATGCCCATAGCCATACATACATTATAAACACTACCGGCTACTAAAAACACACACACACACACACAAAATATTAATACAATATTTGTAACAGCATAACTAATGCTCCACAGTTCTATAACTGCTTCTGATTCTGCTGACCGACCGGTACACAGTTCATGTAGAAGCGGCGGTCGTGATGGCAGTCGTTGGGGATGTTGGAGCAGGAACCTTCTTACAGTGGCTGCAGTGCACCCATCTATCGATGCCCTCAACCTTCACTGCAGTTGGAGTAGTCAGAAGGACTTGGGCCGGGGCCGACCACCTTGGTTCCAGGCAATGCTTCCTTCGATGGATTTTAACACAGACAAAGTCACCTGGAAAGAGAGAGTGCGCACAAGTATCAAGTGGTAAAGGTTGGGCATCTTTTACTCTGGCCCACGCATCACTCAATGCATCTTGCAACATGCGACAATAACCCGCCAACTTATCTTGCCCAGCCATTAATGAAGTTTTCGCTGGAGCAAACCCGTCTACACTGGTTAGGGGAATCGGCAAGGGTCGGTCAAATAGAATTTCGAACGGTGTCAATGAATGCTTCCTATGGGGTGTATTACGAAGATTGGTTAACACTATGGGTAACACTTCAGGCCACTTTAATCCAGTCTGCTCGCATAGCTTTGCTAATTGGGTTTTTATCAGCCCATTCACCCTTTCTACTTTTCCTGAACTTTATGGATGATAGGGGGTATGCAAGGCCTGTTTTATGCTGAGGGCCTTCGCTAAGTGTTGAATAATTTGGGAAGTGAAATGGGGGCCTTGGTCACTTTCCAAACGAGTCATTATCCCAAAGCGGGGAACAATCTCCTTGAGGAGACACTTTGCTACAGATACTGCATCTGCCCTTCGAGTGGGGAAAGGCTCAACCCACCCTGAAAAAAGGTCAACCAGGACAAGCAAGTGTTTTAGTCCTGTCACTGGTGGTAAGTCCATGAAGCCCATCTGGACCACAGCAAATGGGTACTCAGGCAGTTTGCAATGTCCCATAACTTGTGGTTTGATTGCTCCTTGATGATTATACCGTTGACACAATTCACACTGTGCAGTGATGGTCTTCGCAGCTGCATGGACCCCCGGAGCAAAAAACAACTTAGAATCATAGAATATCAGGGTTGGAAGGGACCTCAGGAGGTCATCTCGTCCAACCCCCTGCTCAAAAGCAGGACCAATCCCCAATTAAATCATCCCAGCCAGGGCTTTGTCAAGCCTGACCTTAAAAACTTCTAAGGAAGGAGATTCCACCACCTCCCTAGGCAACGCATTCCAGTGTTTCACCACCCTCCTAGTGAAAAAGTTTTTCCTAATATCCAACCTCAACCGCCCCCACTGCAACTTGAGACCATTACTCCTTGTCCTGTCCTCTTCTACCACTGAGAATAGTCTAGAACCATCCTCTCTGGAACCACCTCTCAGGTAGTTGAAAGCAGCTATCAAATCCCCCCTCATTCTTCTCTTCTGCAGGCTAAACAATCCCAGTTCCCTCAGCCTCTCCTCATAAGTCATGTGTTCCAGACCCCTAATCATTTTTGTTGCCCTTCGCTGGACTCTTTCCAATTTATCCACATCCTTCTTGTAGTGTGGGGCCCAAAACTGGACACAATACTCCAGATGAGGCCTCACCAATGTCGAATAGAGGGGGACGATCACGTCCCTCGATCTGCTGGCAATGCCCCTACTTTTACATCCCAAAATGCCATTGGCCTTCTTGGCAACAAGGGCACACTGCTGACTCATATCCAGCTTCTTGTCCACTGTCACCCCTAGGTCCTTTTCCGCAGAACTGCTGCCTAGCCATTCGGTCCCTAGTCTGTAGCTGTGCATTGGGTTCTTCCGTCCTAAGTGCAGGACCCTGCACTTATCCTTATTGAACCTCATCAGATTTCTTTTGGCCCAATCCTCCAATTTTTCTAGGTCCCTCTGTATCCTATCCCTGCCCTCCAGGGTATCTACCACTCCATTTGAGCCACTAATCCCCCCTTTCCCAGGTGCGAGGCCAGGTGGAGTGCCTGGGAAACCCGAAGGAGGAGTTGTCTTGGGAGAACCGGATGACCGTCTGGGCTGACATAGTGGTTGTCCTTATTTAGGTGGCGTCCAATGGATTTCCAACGGCTAACTTCGGCCAGGGGCATCGTCTGCTGGGCAGAGAGCAAAACGGTTGGCGTCACTGGTTGCAGTAGCAGGGGTGCCAAAAAAGGAAAAGGGGCTGGAGCCCCATAGAGGGCAGCATGACGGGCTGCCGAATCGGCTGCAGCATTTCCCTTGGAAACCTCGTCCGTGGTGCAGGAGTGGCCCTTACAGTGGGTAACTGAAACAGCTGCAGGAAGTTGAATAGCCTCTAACAAGGTGGAAATCAAGGCAACATGGGAGATCTGAGAGCCACTGGAGGTAAGGAACCCACGATGTTTCCAAAGTTGTCCAGGAGAGTGGCATACTGAAAAGGCATATTTGGAGTCAGTATAGATGGCCACAGTTTTGTTTTCAGCTAATTGACAGGCCCTAACAAGCGCCACGAGTTCTGCTGCTTGCGCTGACTTTTGAGTAGGTAAGGCATGCGCTTCAAGCGTTGTCATCAGGGTAACAATTGCATAGCCAACTTGTAAGGCTCCAAACTCGTTCCGACAGGCGGAGCCGTCACAAAACAATTGGAGGTCAGGATTCTGCAATGGAATATCGGAGAGGTCAGGACGAGGCGTGGAGATCAAATCCACCAAGTGGAGGCAATTATGAGGTTCCCCGTCCTCAGGCAGAGGCAAAAGGGTTGCAGGATTCAGGACTTCGCAGCAGCGTAGGGTAACAGCCTGATTGGCGAGCAAGGCCAATTCGTACCTGGTCAATCTGGCTGCTGTGAGGTGCTGCGTGGATCCACGATTAAGAAGCTCTGCAACGGCATGAGGCACCTGAACTAGAAGAGGGTGGCCCAAGGTAAGTCCTGAAGCTTTCTCAACCAATACAGCGGCAGCCGCAACAGCGTGGAGGCAGGGCGGAAGACCCTGAGCCACTGGGTCAAGAAGGACTGAAAAATAAGCCACTGGTCACTGGCCAGGCCCAAAGGGCTGAGTTAGCACACCAGACACCGTGCCAGATTGTTCATGGCAAAACAAGGTGAAAGGCTTTGAGTAATCCGGTCTGCCCAGGGCTGGTGCAGAAGTTAATGCTTGTTTGAGGGCGGTAAGGGCGTTGTTGTGTAGAGTCGTCCATGGCAGGGGTTCGGGAACAGAATCCAGCAGCAAATCGGTGAGGGGGTGCACTAACTCCGCATAAGCCGGAATCCAGGCTCTACAATAGCCACTTGCTCCCAGTAACTGGCGGAGTTGTTTTTTAGTGGTAGGCCTCGGCATACTCAGAACGCTTTCAATCCTGTCCTGAGTAAGTGCAGTAGAGGCATATGAAATACAATGCCCTAAATATTCCACCTTGGGTTGGACAAACTGTAGCTTGGAGAGTGCCACCTTGTGACCTTTTTCGGCCAATGCAAAAAGAAGGATTCGAGTGTCTTGTACACAGGCAGTCTTGGCTGTAGAGCACAATAACAGATCATCAACGTATTGAATCAAAGTAGAACCCATAGTCAATGAAATAGAGTCCAGATCTTGCTTTAAATACTGGCTGAAGATGGTAGGGCTCTCCCTGTAGCCCCGAGGGAGGCGGGTCCATACGTATTGACATCCGTCAAAGGTAAAGGCAAATAGGAACTGTGAGTCTGGGTGCACAGGGATGCTGAAAAATGCTGAAGACAGATCAATCACAGTAAAATACGTAGCTCCTGGGGGAATAGCAGTTAAAATAGTTGCTGGATTGGGAACAACCGGAGCTCTCGGGATCACAATAGCATTGATCAGTCGGAGGTCATGCACGAAACGGTAAACCGGTTTGCCATCGGGGCCAGGCTTGGGTTTCTTAACAGGAAGAATAGGTGTATTGCAAGGGCTGGTAGCCTCTTTAATGATTCCTTGAGTTAAAAGCTGTTGTAGGACTGGCCGAATGCCCTCTATGGCCTCTTTAGGCAATGGATATTGCATTTTTCGGGGCAGAGGGATGTCTGTACGGTAAGTGATATAAACCTTTAAAAGTCCAGTTTCAGTGGACACCGAGGCCCACAATGCTTCAGGAATATCAGATAACTCAGCCGGGACAAGGGGGGCAGTGGGTGTCATTGTGGTGGCATTAGTGGCTAACAATGCCATTACCGTAGCTTCAGGGACGGAAGTATGGACTGAGAGATATAGCCCCTCCGGGCTGCAAGTTATAGTTGCTCGTAGTTTACATAACAAATCTCTGCCTAATAGATTTGCAGGACAGGAAGTTGCAATTAAAAAGCTATGATCCTCTGATAACGGGCCACGCTGGACCGTTTGCTCCGCAGTTAGAGGAAGGGCGCACACGGTGCCACCAACGCCTATAGCTTTTACGGTTGCAGAAGTGGTAGGAAGGTTGGGGTCCTGTAGAGTACTTCTATCTGCCCCGGTGTCAATTAACACTGAATAAGTTTTTCCTCCCACCACAACTGGAAGTTCCGGGTGGTTTGCATCCAACTGCACTGTCCAAGAAGCGGAGGGGGTTCCTGGCGGGGGGAACGAAGCAATGTGGGCGGCTAGCTTTCAATCAGTACTCCCTTTTTCTCCCCCCCTTTCCTGTACCCTCTGGTAGGCTTGCATAAGAGGGTCAGCTGACTGGAGGGGGTAATTTGGGCACTGGGCAGCCCAGGGTCCTTTTTGTCAGCACCTCCGGCACCCATCTGGCCCTCCCCTCCCAGGCCGTGGCTGGAAGTTCTGACCTTGTGGTCCCCATCCCTGGGTAGAGCTGCCTCCTCTTCCGCCTCGTCCCCGAAAGCCTCCCCCTCCTACGGCTTGCATCTCGTCCCCGAGAGCCGTCTTGGAAACCTTGCAACTGCAGATTAAGGAGCTTTTCGGACCTCCTAGTGTCTAATTCCTTCCTATTCCTCCAGGCATGGGCTGCTAACCCTACCACCTCCTCCAGCGTTTTGTTTTCATAAGCTGGTTGACTACACACGTACTTTCGAGCGAATGGTAATAAGTTTTTTACATACTGGCCGATCACTTGTGTTTTTGCTACAGGGGAGGTTGGATCTAAGCCGCTGTGGTTTTTCAAAACCTTACAGAGGCGGTGGAAGAATTCCCCTGGGTGCTCATCGTGCTTTTGAACACATGCATCTACCTTTCCCCAATCATACACAGGCTTAGACATATCCTCTAATGCTTCTAAGATTCGCTTTCTCATTTTATCCCACTCTTGAACGGCCTCCGGAACATCCCAATCCATTTCAGGTTTCTCTTGCGGATAAGCCGCCCTGCCTTGCACCGCCTCTCTAGCTTTCTTATACACCGTTTCCTTCTCACCCTCACTTAGCACTTGATTCAAAATCATCTCCACATCATCATAATTACAATTATACATTGTGAAAATACCCTTTAACTTTTTAATAAATTCTTCCAGACACTGTCGAAATGAGGGAAAAGTAGATGACCAATTCATTAGATCCGTGCTGGTAAAAGGGACATACACCATCTGTGTCCCCCCTCTACCACTTGGCAGTTGTCGCATAGGCATTTGGACTGCACTAGCTATTGCAGCTCCAGTAACTTTTGCCTTAGGTGTGCCTAGAGAACTATGAGACCGGGTCTTTGCAGGGGTCGCATCACTGGGGTGTCGCGGAGCAGGGCGTGCCAACCCCCTGGTAGAGGTGCCAGCCCTCCGGATCATCCCCCAGCTCTGTGTCGGTTGTGGGGGTATCGGTAGCTAGCGGGAGAGTGGGGCCACTCCTCTCCCCGTTCGGGGGCGTGGGTGCATCGGGGTCAGGCTGCGGTACCCCACCCCATAGCCAGGTACATTCTTCCAATGGTATAGGGTCCCCCGTTTCTTTCAATGGGAGTTGCGGATAAATAGACTTTGACGCATTTAGCTTCCGGTCAGCATTACTAGATTCTGGATTGTAGGGTGGAGGCCGCATGGCTTTAAGTTTTTCTACCTCAGCACGTAAACTAGTAGTTACACTGGCGCTTTTGCGCCGTTCGGCCTCCCTTATCCATACATCAGAATACTTAAGTTGCCGCGGTTGCAAATCATACAATACTTTCCGTAAATGAACAATGTTATGTAACTCAAATGTTCCCTCCCCCGGCCAGCAATTTCCTGGTTCCGGGTCGTCTTGCGTCATTCCCACCCAGGGACCTTGACACAGAAATATAAACTTATACAAAGCTTTGTTGCCATCCGATTGTAAGGCCTTGATATCGCTATCATAATGTTTTAACATATAGCCCAGAGGCGTAGAAGGATCAACAGTTCTCCTGGACCCCCCGCCCATCTTTTCCCAAAGATGGAACCCCCGGCTGTTGTCTAGACAATCACAAAGAAAAATTCAGAACTTACCAAGTTCCCACCGGCCGGTGTTCACCAATAGGTCCAGACCCTAGTGCCTTTAGGGATGCCTTATTTTGTTGACACGGTGGGTGGAAGCGAGACGGGAAGCCTCTAGGGTTAAAGCAACCCAGGTGCCGGCAAGAAGGATTCAGAGTCCCGACCATCCACCGGTCCAGAAAAGCGGCAATCCCGGACGAGCCCCCAAATTGTTAGGGAAAAAGGTTTCCCCTCCCGTCTAGGGTTTGGAGGGTAGCCTTCCCTGGACTTCTGTATTAGCCAAACAAAACACAGAGTCGTGGCTCTTTGATAAAGTGAGGCACTTTAATACTAGCAAGTAGGACAGCTGAAGGGCTCACCAATTCCTTCACAGAGGAAAATGGCGAAGTCCTGAACAAAGAACAGAGATGGGCTTTTATAGCCTGGTTCAACATACAGTGTGATATCTCTTCCAGCTCAAGCCGGTTAACCCAGTCTGTTTGAAGTTCTGGGGTAGGTATGAACATGGAGGCTTATCTGTGTAAGGAATTCTTTCCCCAAAACGGGGAGTACAGGTTACACACAGTTCACATTCCTTCTACCCATAACCTTAGAGAGAAGACAGATAAGCATAGAAAAAAGACAGAAGCCTAGCTTTACATGATTATAGGGTTGTTTTCTGGTTCTTTTCTTTATTATCACTTCTAATTTTAGAGTGTTAAGTAAGTTTGTATATTTTACAGAAAGAGAAATGCAAGACGTTTCCATATTGGATGCCTAGGAGCAGGGGGATACACAGTTTAGTGGAAGTGTTACTAAAGAGAGAGAAAAATAAAGAAGAAAAACAATCCTCAAATGGAGCATGACTGGATGTTCCCAATCAAAACAGTTGCTCTTTTGTAGGCAATATTCCCAGGAAGACCTTGTAGGATTGCTTAAAAACATGCCTTTCTGAGCTCTTCTGCCTTATTTAATGATCTCTTCTTTGTACCATTGTTTTTACCTTACGATATCTGTAAAATATATATAAGATGATTTTCATGTTCAAAATGGAAGGAAATAAAAGGAACAAACCCATAAGCCTACATGGACTTCCCCACAGGAAACACAGCTAGAGAAGGCTAGGAGAACTGTATCACTGATGGAAAGAGACAGAAGGATGTCAATTTTTTAAGCTGATCCCTCCTCCGAGCCCTACAGATCTGGAGGATTCACAGAGAAAGAAGGAAGAGAGGAGCCAGATCCCACGAGTGGCTACTGTGCCACAGCCTGTCCTCCTCTGTGGCAGGATAGCTCCTGCAGGAGTTACACCACCATTATTGGGTCTCAGGTGCATTCTGGGTAGTGTATTACCTCCCATATTAAAATTCAGGCAGAGGGCAGTGAGACTTATGTTCAGATTCATTGTGGAGAGGCACATCATCTACTCACACTTAAGGGTGGAGCAGGCCTTCTGTTCATGAGGCTAATTTTCCCATTCCCTAATTTGAAGAACCCAAAATAAGCCACTTGAAATTTGTCAGGCTATTTTCTTCATCCACAACATTAAACATTTTCAAAAAATGTTGATTAAAATCAGAAAAGCTGTTCCTTCTCCCCCCCAAAGTATTGAGTGGGGGGTATTAAATTTTAAATCCCTGTATCTACACCCTCAATAACCTTTCCCTTCAGGCCTTTTCACTCTCTGCCTCCCTAAATACAGTGGTATCTTTCTCTGTTTTTTTGCAGATTTATTGGCTACCTGAAGAGTTCCTGCTCTGAATCAGACAAAGCAAGGATATGGACCTACCATGTCCCAGGTGAGTTCCCTAACAGCAGGCTATTTCTAGGTGTGTGAGTCTAGTGTTTTTCAGAAAAATGTAGCAAGGTCTTGTTTTCATTCCAGGGCAGAACAAAAACAAATTTGGAAACTTTGAAATTTTTCATGAAATGGAATGATTGTTTTCTGGCCCGCCCTAGTGAGGGGGCTTCTGAGTCTCTTGTTGCGGGGCAGGGGCAGTGGTGCAATAAGCCTCTTAGGGTATGTCTACGCTATGATTAGATATCTGGGGCTTGCCAGCTGACTTCGGCTCAGGATAAGGGGGTGTTTAATTGTTGTGAGGTCTCAGAATCTTTGAGCACTAGGTTGGTGGTGCAAAAAAATGTGAAACAGAGTCCTTTGGGCTGAGTCCAGGTGGTGGCTTATTGCCAGCAGATATTTGATCAAGACGCACACAATACAGGAAAGGAAGGGAATAGGGGACATATAAAAATCTCAGCAGATGCATCTAAGGAACAGATTCTGCTACCCTAACTCAGGCTGAGTAGTACCATACTCCTCAAGTAGTTCAATTCATTTCAATGAGACTGCTTGGGCAGTAAGGGAGTACTTAATATGAATAAAGTAGCAGGATCTGGCCTTATGCTGCTGTTTTTTAAAAACTGGAATAATTGTGGTAAATGAATTCACAGATCTACATGTTTACACCTAGAAACCTGAAAGGGCAAAATAAAAAAATCTAGACTTGGAAGATGAAATCGGGATGGGGGGATGGCGGGGAGACTGTTTTTCTTTGTTAAACTCAAAGTTACTTTAAAAATGTTGAAAGGTGTTAGAAATTTCATCAAAGATCAGTTTTAATTTTTCTTTAAGCAGTGAACATCGTACTCATAAAATAGACATTCGAAACAAAATCTTATGCTTCAAATGTCCAGCTGAAAAAGGAGCTGAAGTAGATGAGGTAATATCTTTCATTGGACGTACTTCTGTTGGTGAGAAAGACAAGCTTCTGAGCTTCACAGAGCTCTTCTTCCGGTCTGAGGGCTCTGTGGAGCTCGAAAGCTTGTCTGTTTCACCAACAGAAGTTGATCCATGAGAGAGATTACCTCACCCACCTTGTGTGTGTCGTGTCCTGGGACCAACAGGGCTACGACATTGCAAACAACTAAAAAGACGCAGGTACATTTTCCTTTCATCTATTACGAAAGGTAAAAGTGACAGAAAAGTCCAAGATTTGTTAATATTCATTGAAGAAGAGAAGAGATTTTTATAAGTTCAAAGGCAATATGCCTGATTCTATTCTAATTTATACTGCTGTAAATTGGGAGTAATTCCATTTTAAATCAGTGGATTGGGGAGGAGTTACACCAGTGTAAAGACAGTGAAAGCAAGCTCAGACTCTATTTCTGTGGTTAGTTCTTTCCCGCTCTCCTTGCTGGGTTTTGGATCTACTATACACTGATGGCAGGAAACTGAGTTCCAATTATGTGTACTTCTTGTTGCTATTCAGTGTAAAAAAAAAACAAACAACTTTTATCAATGTAAATTAAGCTTTTGTATGACATGAAACAGGACCAAATGGTCTCCTGGGTGTGTGTTCCCACACAGGGGCTGGAAACACAATGAGTTTAGATTCATTTCCTCAGGGAAGATGGAGTTTGTTCACCTTCTTCAGGCCCAATGTTGCTAGTACCTCACTGCCTGTAGCTATCTCAAAATCACCTCACAGCAGAGGGCATTCAGAAACTGGGCTCCAGCCCAAGACTGAACATTTACACTGCAATTTGATAGTCCCACAGCCTGAGTCAGCTGACGCAGGCCAGCCATAGGTGTGTTAGTGCAGTGTAAACCTACCCTTCGGAGCCTAAGATAGATTTCGTAAGAGGGGTTTCCAGTTGTAGATTGCTAGCAAGATAGACACCTCCCTATGGCCCAATTTTGAGGCCTATTTTGTGAGAGGAGTGGGCTTAGCACACACCCCTGTCATTGACATCTCCCATGGGCTAGTTTAGGTGGCTTCCAGCTTTAGCGTGTTGTCTTTTGTGGATCACATTCTGAGGCAATTATCTCTTCCCATTCATTGTTTAGGGAGCCTAGGCACCTAACTAAGGCTTTGTGAATCAGTGTTGTTCCCGTGATTTTCCATGCCCCAAAAAGATAGATACTGTAATGCTCAGCATCACAATGCCTAAGTCCCTTTGTGGGTGTGTGCCTCAGTTTCCCCATCTGTAACTTTCCTGCATTGCAGGGGAGCAGGATTTGGCCTATGCTAAATGACAGACAAAGAAATGTCTCTTGTGTCTTTACCTCCTTGAAGGACTTAGCAATTTGTGGTGCTTATTTAGTATGGTTCTGTGATTTAAATAGATCTTTTTGCAATAGCTTGTGTCCCTTGTGTTTTCATTTATCCGGTCAAGCTTTAAATGTTTTTTTTATCCCACAAGTGGAAACA